TGGCAGAGAGATGCAGAGCTCTCACCTCTGTTTGAAGTCAGCATAGAGGACTCTGCTGGGGAAGCCTTTCCTGCAAATCCTGATCCCTTCCAGCACGCCGTTACAGCGCAGCTGGTGCAGCACCAGCTCGTGCTCCATGGCACCTGGCAAATACCACCGTTAGTGACCACTCTGCTGTTTGACACTCAGGAGAAGAGCTTCTGCTGCTCAAGCTTTCTCCTCTTGGCTTGCCTTACCAGGTGTTTTAGTTTCATTTGGGATGATGCACCGTACAAAATGGGGGTGAGTGCTTCTCAAGTTAGCCATCAGCTTGTTTAAATTCTCCTGTGAGATTATGAAACGAAGTTTGCATTAATAAGTGTAAACACTGGAATCTTAACAGTGGATGTATCAAACTGGTGTTTCAGGATGCAGACCTGTCTTCTCTAAAATAACTTGCAGAACCCCCAAAAGGAAAATTGGAAGCTGAAGGCTCCCAAATTTTAGTTTTGAAGTTCTTTTAGAGAATAATGATTAGAATTACTTTTCCTTGACATCCTCATCCAAATACAGAGCTATCACTGCACAGTTTTCCTTTAAGCTGGTAATTCTTGTGGTATATTGTTGGAGATCTTAAATAAATGACGTATTCTTGATCAAGAATGACTAGCATATGATTTGTCAACTAAGTAAATTGTTTCTAAATGGAGGGGATAGTGTTATAGTCCATATAAAATTACCCCTTTAATAGTAATTCAGTCTCAAACTTTGAAGACAACTACAAACTCACCTCGTAAGTCATTATTTTCAGATAATTTAACTGTTACTCTTTTTCCAACTTAAAGTCAAGTCATTATTTTTAAATCCTATAATCTTTGGGTAATTTATTTTACTTTTTATGTTTGATCTCTTATTTTCAAATTTTATTATGAGTCAGTACTGATAATCTGCCTAGAGACATAAAACAAGTCCAGAAAATATATCTGAATGCTATGGACAGGATTTTAAGGAAGTTAGCTAGTAAGTTATTCACTCCCACCTAAGTAGGAGAACTTAACCATTCAGATATTTTTCTGGAATATTCAAAAAAAGTGCATGGCATTATAAAAGAATTATTCTGTAAGTTCCAAGGATGGAAAGGGAAGGATTTTAAAGGATGACAAGAGTTATATCCAAACTAGGAACAAATCTTTCCGTTTCAAAATAAAAATGCTTTCTCATTTTCAAGCAGATAATGAATATTCTTATTACCCTGAAAAGAGCTGAGACAGTCTGGAAAGAAGAACCCTTCTTCTTGCCTCCCTTCTTGCCGCCACCGCCAGCATCTGAAAATCAAAGAAAAGAAAAAAATGTTTAATAATATGGACAATATATATTGGATACTACAGAACACAAAGCCACTTTATATTTCTAGTGTTTGCAGATTTGATTCTGAGAAAACTTTGTCCCATAATAAAAATACAATTTCTATAAAACTGACCGGCATCTGCTCCACCATAAGAAGCAAAGAGTAAAGCCAGGGTCTTCACAGATGATTTCTGGTACAGCCCAATGACAGTTTCATTCAGAGG